TGGGCAGCACGATGGTGAAGTGCCACGTCTATGACCGCGCGGCCGCCGTCAGGGGCTCCAGCTGCAGGAAGGTGAGTCCGGGCGGGCTCCGCGGCGCTCCCTCAGCTCGGCCCGGCGGGAGCAGCCTGGGGCGGCACCTGCCTCGGGAGCCGGGCGGGGCCGGACGTGCCCGCTCTGCCCAGAGCGTTTCCGACCCGCGGGGCCCCGGGAGCCGGCGGGTCCCTTGGCTTGTCCCGGTGCGCGGGCATCTCCCGGGTCCGCCCCTGCTCCCCCTTCCCAGGGCCCCCGGGGTGAAGGGAGCCCGCAGCACCCGAGCCCCGCAGGTACCGCCGGAGCGCTCGCCCCGTTTTCTCCCGCCCACCCTTCCCTGTTACCTTCGCTTCAGTCGCTTTTCGACTAATTCCTCTGGGAACAATAAGACTTTTGTTAGAAGGGCATAGCTGAGGCTTGCGTAGGACTTGGTGTTTACACGCGTCCCATCGTGTAACAGCGCCGCGTGAAAAAGTGTTCACTTGGGAACAGGGATTTCGGGCTGCTTTTGGGTTGTACTGATCGTGATTTTGGGATCAAGACAGTCTCCAGAATTAACTTTTTTACAATTAGGAGAAGTGTAAAAGTCTGATGGATTTCAGAGGTGGAAGGGGCTGCTCTCGGTGGAGCTGACCCTCTAGTGGGTGATCCCTGCCCTGCTGAGCCGTGCTGCTGGTGAGGAGCTCAGAGGCATCCACGTCTGAGTTCAGCAGTGGAGCCAAAAGGCTCTCTGAGCATCTGCTTTCCAATCTGCAGCTCTGAAAGGAGTTTACAGCCTCTGAAGTTCCTGGGGGTTTGGGCTTCTTTATTCACTCTGAACAGAGGAAGTCTTCTAGAGATCACAAATCCAGATTCAACTATGTTCTAAAAGTTACACTGTTGTTTCTTCTCGTACAAGAGATTCAGAAAATTAAGAAAAAAAAATGCAAAAGCAAATTTGTTTGCACCAAGTTGCACAAGAATAGTGGCTTCTGTGAACTAGGGATCATAAAAATGTTGTTTGTGTTTCCTGAACAGGTGGAGTCGCTTTATCCTCGTCCTGGATGGGTTGAATTAGATCCTGAAGTGCTGTGGAGTCAATTTGTTGGTGTAATAAAAGAGGCTGTACAAAGTAAGGGCGTAAAGCTTGAGAAATTAATTATTTATTTATCAAAATTAGTAAAAAGTCTGTTAGATAATAAGATTATTTTTAACTCATATTGAAAATTCATCACTGAGCACAGGTCTACAACATGCTTTAAGGTCTATTCAATAATTATGTAAAATAAGGCACTGGAATTACCTTTTTCCTTTCAGTTGGCCCAGATTAGGATTGAAGTAGAAGCAGTGAACACTAGATTTACACATCAGTGACAGCACCTTGTTGCTCCAGCTTTTTGTGTATGCATCCTTCCCCAGTGTCCCTGTTCCTGCAGATGCCTCTGTGTATGAACAGAGAGTAGGCTTGTTCCCCTTCCAGTGCCCCGTTATTCCGCTGCCACTTTGTGTGTGTGACTGCAGCTGTATGAGAGCATGAATGCAGGATGCTACAGGGTTGTGCTTCCTCCATTACAACCTGATGTTCCTGCTTTTCCCATTCAAATTACGAACAGTTCTTACCATCCAATTTCTGTATTACTCTTCTTTTCTATTTGTGCTTTAGCCTAAAATTTCCTAGTACTCCACACATTAAGTGCACTCAACTCCCTTTTTTGCCAAACTTCTGATGTGGGTTTTTCCCCCCTTTTCTGAATGCTGCTCTAACTCTGCTCTTGCTCTCTGCAGCTCCCATAGCTTTCCCATTAATCCAGCTCCAGTGTTCTACAATCCCACATGGATCGCCTTTGTTGCCACGCTGGTGCTGTGAACCTGTCAGCTGCACCCCAGCTTTCCCACATGCCTCAGCTTCCCTGGCCTGTGTGTGTACATCACACTCTTCCATCCACTGCTTTAAGTTCCTCCTATTCAGCCCCTCTTGCAGTTTGGTCTCCAAGTGTTTCTCTGGCTCAAGCCAAAACTGCTTGTCTCTTCTTTTGGAAGGCTGCCTAGGGAACAGGGAAAATAACCATCACCAGGTGTAAACTGATTATTTTGGGCTCTTGGTTTGTTTTCTCAGCAGCCACAACTGTTATGTCACGAGAATAGCAATGCCACCTCAACCCCCAAAGACCTTACTGTCTTCCTTCACTCCCATTCTGTGAGGCAAATCAGGAAGCAAGATTTTTCAGCTAGTTTTAAAAGGGGAAGGTTGTCTTGTGGCCAAGCTGTGTGCACTGTTGGCAAGTCATTTTTAGGTCATTTTTAAGTCATTTCTGACCTCACACTGCTGTCAAAAGAAGCAGTCCCACCCTCCTCTTTACAGGATTGTTTCAAGTCTAGAGCAGCTTCCTGAGTCGAATCACTGTCCGGTTGTTTATGCCAGCAGAGCTTCACCAGTGTTTGTGCTGGTGCAAGAGAGGGTGTGGTGCCAGAGGCAGGAATGACTGACTGGAAGCAGGAAGAAGGCACAGCTACACTTGGGTTTGCAGGGCTTGTGGAGCTAAACGTGTGATTCTGTGTGCAGGCAGGTGAGCTGATGTAGTCCAGTCCTACCTACAGGTGGAAACTTTTGGCTGCACAGTCCCCCCCCCCCCCCCCCCCCCCCCGCTTACTCTGGTACTCCATCCAAAAGAGATCTTAGCTGAAAAATATCCATGTTTGTCTTCTGGTTTGTTTTTCTCTTTGATGGAATTTCACTCCGCTCATATAGGCATCTAGAGAGCATGATAGCTGACACAGGGAAAGTGGTGAGAGCATGCAGGTTGTGGAGATGGGGAGGAGTAACACATGCCACTAATTTATAGTGAGCTGTGGTAGTACTGCTATGGCTTTGCCTGGAAAAGAAATGCTGCTGTTCTCAAGCCACCCACTCCCAGGTCCTCCTCCCATACACTCCTGCTACCAGCAGCACTTGTGCAGGCAGGTGGAGCAGATTGCCTTGCGAAAGCACTGGTTTAACTTTCAGCTGATTGAGGGCTTGATAGCACTGCCTGCAGGAATGCAAGGGCCAGGACAAAGGAAGGTGCAGAAGCACAAGTAGCTTTGGGCTGCACAGGATGTACCCTTTCCCTGTGAAATCCTTTCTGTGATTGTCACTGAGAGGGTGGCAGGTGTAGAGTCCCCAGGATATACTCACACAAATGTAACTTTGGATGGGAAAGTTGACATGAGAACTTGTTTGAGCAAGACATACTTAACCTGTGATTTGTTCAAGTAACTGCACTGAGAGCCCCTCAGAGTAACAGCACTTAGGACAGAATAGGTAGTCTGTCATTTAAGTGGAATTTCTTAATGTATATTTCCTTCATGTAATTTTGCTTCTGGGAGCATGCATGGAGGTGCTTAGCAAGCTGACTAGAGCTGCTATGAAAATAGCTGTGGACATATTTAATTATTTACAGTTATATATATTAGAAAAAATGTTCTATAAGAGTTATTTGAAGGTAAAATTTAACAGCAAAGTTGGTGTGTATCTAGATGTACATTTTTGTACCTCTGATTTTGAAGTATACTTTGCATTCAGTGGTACATGGTTTAAGCCAATTTTTTCTTAGGAATTTTGAAAGGTTGCTTAAGAAATATTTAAAGTGAGACACGTCATTATTGAAGTGATGTAAAAAATCAGACCATATTGACATTAATCTCTTTACTGCCTACAGCATCGATCTAGTTTTGTTTCTTTATGAAAATTCTTTTTGTAAGTCTGTAAAGGTACTTCTCTTTGTGCTTTCTTCTGCATTCATCCATGTGAAATGCACATTTTAATTGATTATATAGGTTTATGCAGTCTGCCTGCCCATCTCTGGGATTATTCATGTAGAGTATCAACAGGCCTTTCAGGAGGCAGAAAGAGTCAGTGTGCCACAACTGCTTTTACTAAATACACAGGTTTATTTATCTGCTTTGGAATCAGTTGTCTGACTCAGAGTTCTCTGACATGTCACTGCTCTAGCCACTTAATTGGGCAACCTGTAGAGATTAACAGCTAAAGAGAATATAAATTTCCTAAGTATTCCATAGATTTTATAATTATATTGGAGAAGCTGTATTTCTGTTTGTTTCTTCAAATAAATGCTTTTTTTTTCATTTGTTTTTGGTTTTTAGCTGCAGGGCTTCACATGGGGCAAATTGCTGGTCTTGGCATCTCCACACAGAGAGGAACTTTCATTACATGGCACAAGTATGTATATTGTGTGTTGTTTCAAGTGATTTTGTGTTTGTTTACATTCATGGACTGGATGGGAGCAGGCTGTAGAAATGTTGAACTGTGTTAAGTCACAACCTGAAAGTAAAAAATGTCAATCACTCATGTTCCCTTGTGTTTGCACAGCCACACCTCACACAGTTCAGAACAGTCTGTAAGTGTATGGCCTTTTTGTTCTTAATACTTTGGAAGAGCTGAACACATACTTGTTTTTTATTTTTGGTGAGAAGTCTAGCACTCCAAATGTCTGTGTGCCTATCTAGTAACTCCTTGAATGCACCAGGAGGATATGCACTTATTTTGGGAATTGACCCAGTGTTAACTGTCCTGATTGGAAATGGTGAATGATGTTGAATGTTTTGGGTAGTCTGTGTTTTGTAGTTTTAAAGGAGAAATGTCCAAATGCTGTTTTTCAGGAGGACAGGGAAACCTTTTCATAATTTCATAAGTTGGCAAGACATAAGAAGTGCTGAACTTGTGCGTTCCTGGAATAAGTCCCTTCTGCTGAAGGTAAAACTGTGCTAATCTAGATACAGCTTGGACATATTAGAGCTGTTTCATTTTTATGACAGATAAGGGCAGTATATGGAATACTGCAATGTCCTGTTCACATGGTAATGTGATGTGCTGTAGCCTAAAAACATTTAACTGAGCAATATTAGCATGGAAGATAGTGCCAAGAAAAAAAATGCAGTACTGACAGCCTGCAGGTAATTAATAATGGGAAAAGATACCTGTAGTTCTAATATTAATTTTGTTACTTTTTAGTCTCTTGTTATATTAAAATGTTGCATGTTAACACTGCTACAGCATAGTTTTTGCATGTTGGTGGGTAGTTCTTGGTTGGCAGTGTTTTGGGCTTTTTCTTTTCTTGGGTGGTTTTTTTTCATGTACTCTTTGCTCAGCTTACCTGTAGAAGGTGTATTTTATGCTGCTCATAGCTTGTACTTCATACCTTTAGAAGAGAAAGCTTTGCTCCAACTGGAAAAACGGAAGTTACTTTTCCTCTAAGTGGAAACTAACTAGCATACTCACCGTAAGAAATTAAATGCTTGCGTTTGCCACTTATTTCCTTTTTGAACACTTGATTAATGATTAAATTTTGCTAAATCTATTGTCATGATCGAGCCTGTCAACTGTAGGACTTTCACTGGAATAAGAGTGTGTAAAGCTGTCAGCCACATCAGGCATTGTACTCATGTAGGTGACCAGTGTTGGTAGTGCAGAGAAGTGTCTGTGTTCCAGCAGAACTTGGACAAACAGACTTTATTGCAGCTGCTCTTTCCTGTGGTGTGTGTTGCAGGAAGGCTATCTGTTGATTTAAGATCCCTGCTTGATCCTACACAAGGATACTCTAAAACAGAGTTTTAGCTTTCTAAATCTAGTTTTGTATCAGCAGCTTTCACCTGTGTTGTCATCCTTTAAAGATAAGTGATCAGAAACCTTTAAAGGGCAAGATTAAACATTAAGTAACTGTTTTCTTTTGAAACAGGTAATCCACGTTATTTTTACAGTGCTTCATTTCTTGACTGGGAACGATCGATATTTGGCACCAAGTTTTCTTACTTTTTCAACACAACAAACTTCTATGAAGTTGTCATGGGTTTTTAAAAACATACCTGAGGTAAGCTGGAAAGGGAACAACAACAACTTTCTCAAGTGATGATAATGGCAGGTGACTTGGAGGTGTTCAAGGCCAGGTTGGACGGGGCTTTGAGCAACCTGGTCTAGGGAAAGGTGTCCCTGCCCGTGGCAGGGAGGTTGCGAGTAGATGATCTTTAATGTCCCTTCCAACCCAAACCTTTCTATGATTCTGTGACTGTTGGCTGTAATTTCTTCAGGTTTGTCTTGTTCTTCTCCTCAGAAGAACCAGAAAGACTTTCATCTGTGTTAATGTTCAAAGCCTGTCCTCCTAAATAGTGACTTGTATTCATACAGCTTTTTCCTCTGATTCTGGAAATATGTAGTAGTAAAAAAGCTTTCTTCAGACATAAGAAACATAATCAGATCACCTTATTTCACTTGATATAAGTATACAATTAGTAGAATTAGTAATTTTACTTTGTTGTAAGACTGTTTGCACTCTAGTTTTGCATGACAGTTGTATTTATTTTCTACAGGCACTCTTATCTTTCTGCTCTGCATTATCCCAGCATTTTGCAGTTTCACAAATAATATTGTATATTACTTGGTTTGCATTTTGTTGTAGTGTGAATTAGAAAATGCACATAAAATAAGTTGTGCTGGAATAATCTAATGGCCTAATGAGCCCTGAGCTATTTGTTGCTATATTCATTGCTCTAATCTGTGCCATTTTCCCTGTTTCTACCTACAGTATTTATAACTTTAGTCATCGTATGTTCTATGCTAATTTTCAAGTAATTTTTAAAAGAAAATTATCATCCATTTTCTATCCAGTGTAAAGAAACCCCACAGTCTTTTGAGCTTTGACTGTCCCAAAGCTAACTATTGAGAAGGTCAAGTATAATTTTTACAGGCATGTTTTTGTTGGACCTGTTGAAAATGTGAGGTGTGAATCTGGAGGATTATAAAAGTGAAAGTCACGCAGCTGCTGAGTTTTCTGTGCGAGGTGAACGTTCTCCCACATTTTTTCAGGCACTCATACTTAAAATATGTGACTATCAAACCAAGAAGCTCAGAAGATTATGGCTCTTGGTAAGAGCCATGTATTCAGTCATGTTTTGAGGGAATTAGTTTGTATGTCTGTTTATGAATTCCGTAGTTGTAAACATTATCATTTAATGGAAATTAGATGAAACCCGAATTTCCCATTTTAAAGGGGAATAAGATCCTAAGGAAAATAACATTTTGAACTCCTTACAGAATTCATAAACAATAAAAATATTTTCTCATTAACCATGAAGAAAATTGTAAAAGGAATTAGGAAATATGTTTCTCTTTATTGTATCCAGTTCTAAATACTTTTTGTTTGTATGTGTATTTTTCCTAGGCTGAAGAAGCTGCCAAAAAAAACAACTGCTGCTTTGGGACAATTGACACATGGCTACTGTATAGATTGACTAAAGGTGAATGTTACAGTCTCTCTTAAATATTAATAAAATGCACTGGAATCTAAGAGATAATGTTCATGACTTGTCATTTATGTATCCTAGAATTCAAATTTTTTTTTGCAATTTGTGCTTTTTGATAATTGATAAATATTTTAATGTATTGACTGTTAAAAAAAACCTAAATATTCTTTGGGCCCTGCCTGGAAGGGAAATAATTATTCAATGTAATCAACCTTTTAAGAGTATAGGATTTAAAGAGGACTAACAGAACTAATTGGTGTTAATTGAAGAAAAGTACCTGTGAAAGCAAAAAACCAAAGAATTGTTACAAATGTGGAAGAATTACAAGTTTCTGTCTTGAGGCCTAATGCTGAGCAATCAGATGGGTTATGATTGAGGATGATGCAGTTGGTGTGGGGTGTGTTGGCTCTTCTATCCAGGTTCATGAGAGGAAATAAGGTCATTATTGCCATTGTAGTGAGCGGCAGATGAAGTCTCTGTGCCCGTGGTATCATTGTGATTTTGCTCACACACACTCAGTTTATATTTGATGGGAGCCAATGAGATGTTTAAAAAAAACTCTTAAATATCTGAATATCTACAAGTCTTACTTTGTTCTATTTTTTTTTCCATGGTAGGTTCTGTGTATGCTACAGATTACTCCAGTGCCAGTTCTACAGGCATTTTTGAACCCTTTACGGTACGTGCTGTTCTGGGAAAAGGTTGTTGCTATTTATTGTGCTTCTGAGAGGATTGCTGACATTTTTACATTTTCTGTTTCATTTCAGAAATGTTGGAGCCCCACTTTATGTAATCTACTTTCTCTTCCAAAGTCTATTTATCCACCAGTGGAAGACACAAGGTAACTATGAAGACATAATTAAAAGAATATGATAACTGTTAAATTAATTGCCTTTATAAAAATACTACATAATCTGCACAGGCTAAGTTATATGCAGGTACAGAAAGTTATTTGTATATGCAGTTATACTTTATGTAGAAATATATGAAGTCCAAAACTTTATTTTTACTGTCAGTGTTTCTGACAGTACTTAGTGATAGTATTAACGTTTTCTTTAAAATAAATCAGTAGCATCACCTTTCATATGTGGTGCAGACTCAGGGCTTATGTACCTAGATTTCATTTTAACAAGAAGTTCAATTTAGTATTGTGATAATTCTCCATAACATTTGTTTTAAGCTTCAACTTCGGATCAACTGACTCTGAAATATTTGGGGTACCTATTCCAATAATGGCACTGGTGAGTGAAAAATATTTTCCTACTTTATTCTTTATATTTCTACCTACACTGTTTATCTGACTGATTTGGTACTTGCTTCTTTTGCTATGACTTAACTACAGTACAATTGGTTGGTGAATTTTTCTCCAAAAACTCAGTTTACACCCTGAGGGGAAAAGGAAGAGAGAGGAAGGGGAAGGGATTTCTCGAGGTTGAGGTTCATTAAGGTGAGGGACCAAATGGTTAAGCACTGAATGTAGGACTCTAAGCTCTGGTAATATGTGTGTCTCTGGCTTAAAATCAGTTGTTCTATACAGGGTTGTGCAACAGAGTCCACTCTGGCTTGACTTCAGTAAGACTGCACAAATTAAGAGTATTTTTTAATAGATCTACTTGTGGTCCCTTTTATATGTTTTTTTTTCCCACTAAAAATAAGTGGCAAATAACATGTTCTTGCCTCAGTAGTTAGAATTTGGAAAAGAAAACCTCATTATTTTTCTAAAGTGATGACTTGTAGCAAAATCTGCTTGAATTGAGCTAAGTGAAGAAACTGTCACCTAGATAATTTGAATTTCTCCTGCTATTTTTAAAGAACTGTGGACTAAATTCATGTGTAAATTTCCTGTTTCACCAAGGCAAAAACATAAGTAAATGCATTATCGTTGTTGAAAAATTGAGCGTGGAATAATTTGGTACAGGAGGGTTATCAGGGAAAAAGGAAGGCAAGACCTCAAAACTTCAGCTTTCTATTTGGAGAAAGAAGAATTCAAGCCAAACTATTCTGTTGTGCTCTCTGGGATTGCAAATGCCCCATTTATCCTTGTCAAACATTAAAACATAAAATATTGCTTTTGTTTCCATAACATTTTTCAGTGTTGCAGGCAATGCTACAGACATTCCTGTTGGGTCCAAACCTGGTGTAATTTGGTGCTTGTGATAAGTCTGACTGTTGGAATGGCCTGCAAATACTTAAGAAATTGTGTATGAATCCTCTCTGAATGCTCAGTTCCTTTCTGAATGGTTACTTGTATTCAGAACTCTGAACCATTTGCAACGATAATTTAAAACCTGGCAGCATTGCAGTTTGGTGGTTGCCAGCTAACTTGTCCCATTGTTTTTGTTGCCCTGGCAGGTAGCTGATCAGCAGTCAGCAATGTTTGGAGAATGCTGCTTCCACCCAGGAGATGTTAAACTGACAATGGGAACAGGCGGTTTCTGGAATGTGAATACTGGAGAGCGTCTCTTTGCATCACACAGAAGTAAGATAGTGAAATTTGGTTTTAGAGTATTTCACACTCTCAGCTTTTCCTTGGTAGCTGTTAATGATGAGGGTGTACGAAGGGATAAAATAGGGCTGTGCTTTTCCTTCTGTCTTTAGCTGTAAGAAACCAGCTTTGGAGTGCTGGTCCACAGGACTGTGGAAATTTTTATTTAGAAATACACATCCTGGTTATCCTGAAATATGCTTCTCAGGAAGAGAACTTAAGAAGATCACTAGTAATTATGTTTGCTACCTGCATCCCTCCCTCTTTTTTTTTCTTCACCTGTTCTTGATAGCAGTATTATGCAGTAGAAGAATGAAGAAAAGAGGGATTGGTCCTCTGGCTTTTCACATCAAAAAGTTGCAGTAGATCAAGTTCCTGCCCTTGAGCCCTTATGCATCAAATTACCTGCAGTGAGATAATGCAGGATTAACAGTTATAGTTTTCCTTTAAAACACTAGAAATGGTCAACATGCTTCTAGTGTTTAAAACCTCATTGTTCTGAACATTTGTGGTCTGTCAAGCTTGTTAATTCATCAGAGGTGGCTGTTTGTCAAGAGAGCAACAGATGATACTGAAGTAAATTTGCCCACACAAGCTCTCTCTGTCTGTCATATTTTTAAAGAGTTACTAATTATAGCAAGTCTGCAACTTGAAGTGGGGTGGGTGGGGCTGGGAAGGAGGACAGCAGTGTGCTAAGGAGTCTTTTACCAGCTCAAGTCTTGAAGGGCCTTGGCAAATAAATGAGATGTGTCAGAACTGAATAGCATAGACATTGAATTCCCTATGAATGCAAATGATTTTAGGCTAATCAATCATGTCATTAGGAAATCATACATATGTAGTCTGTGGAAATCTAATAGCAAAAACCATGCTGTAAGGTTTTTCCATTCTGTTTTGTTTTAAGAAAATACTTAGATGTGATCTGATAGAAGTTAAAATCTTCTAAGGCAGTGCTGTGAACCTTCTACTGCTTTAGGCTGTTACTTATGCTAAAATGATTTTCCCTATGTCTTTGGCAGTCAGGGGGCCAGTTAGTAGGACAAATTAAGTCCTGGCTTTCTCAGTGCCCTGGGCATTAAATGTAATGTGTTCAATCTTTAAAGTTGACATATGTATTTAAGACTGCAAGATGAATCCCTACAGCATCTTTGTGCAAGCTGTTCATTAGCTACTGTTCTAGTTTCTGGTCTACATTTAGCTCTTATATATGACAGTTTAAAAAAAAACAGAAATAAAGTAGTTCCTTTAAGAACAGCACTTGTCACAATTCAGTGATGGAGTCATGCTGTACAGATGTAAAAGCTGTCCCTCTGGCAGTCTGATGGTTCTTAGTAACTCTGGTCATGCTGAGTGTCATGTGGATCCATTGCCTAGAGGCAGGATTATTTTACACTACTGGAGACTCTGGTGAGAGCATCTTCAGGAAGGCCACCTGATGGATGGCCTTCTCTGTTTCTAATTAGCTGCCTTTCTTTAGGACTTTTGGCTCAATTAATTTTTTGGTCTTTTTTCATTGTGGCTTTATCTTTGGTGAAAAAGAAAGATTGTAAGGCACACCTGTACCAATGGTCTGGAGATATGTATATCACTTTTTCCCTTTCAAGAGAAAAATACAAACTGTAATCTAAATAGATGCTGCTGATCAGTTTGTCTTGGTTTATATTGTAAGCACCAGAGTGCCTCCAACACTAACCAAATTTCTGGAACTGCAGTAGTGCTACCATGCAACTCTCTTGGACACAGGCAAGCAAACCTAGCGATGATTCTGTGAGGAACGCATCTATCAGCAAAGTCACTTTGAGAAAGCAGAGAGAATCCCTAGATTCTTCTGCTGCATTTCTGCTCCTTGTAAAAGTAAACTGGGACTCGTTTACCTGTGTTGCATTACCCATGATCTCTGAGTCCTGAGCAGGGTCCCATGAAGTCTGGCTGATTCCTTCACTCCAACAGTTGCCGAGCTTGATTAGGTGAAGTTGTTGTTGCAGTGGCCACTGATTGCTGAGGTTCTTACTGAGTGACCTGAAGAGCCCTTTGTCCAGCTACCTTGCTGGGGGACATCTGCTGTCCACCTGTGTAGGGAAGGATGCTTGTTTTCTCATAACTTGGCTGGAAAAGAACAGACTTTCACAAGTGGCTGGGCCAAACACAGACCAAAAAATAGCAACATCTGATTAAGCACAAATACATTCCACTGCGGGGTCTGTGGTTGGAGCGTGCCACTGTTGAACAACTCAAACAGCATATTGATGAAGTGCTATCTCTGAAACGTTGTGTATTAAAGTAAAAAACCGAGGAAAACAACATAAAATATTCATAGAAAATGAGTAACGGCAAAAGTCCAACCAATAATATCTTTGTAATCATGTCCATGCTCAATGTAGAGATCCAAAGGGGTTCCAGCTGTCATCCACCTGGAGTTGCTGTGTCAAAGGATGCAAGGTGGCAATGTGTGATTGGACTGACTTGGAATAGTCACTTAAGTTCATACAACACATCCTGTCAAATTCTTCACAGCCGTGGCCCTAGAGCCACACTGGTGTTCTGGTGCAATCTGCATCACCAAGTCTTTTTGCTTTAGCATTAAAAACAGTGCTCTGCAGGACTTCTGTGCTGTGTTCTTATTCAAACAGATATCAAGTGAGAAGGTCTTTGTGTTCACACTGTCTGTTCTAAGTAGTCTTGCTTTTCATTGATAAGGTTTCAAGATATCTGACGGGGAGCAAAGGGGAGAACAAATGGTCAGGTCTTTCCTTGTTATTGGCTCTTATTTATTCCTAATGTAATAGTACCTTCAAGCAGTCAGCTCTTTGAAAGATGCTTTTTGTTTTGGGGGGAAAAGAATCTGACTTTTTAGAATCCCTTGGGGAAAATTGGATGGACTTAAATAGGAAAACATTGATAAATTTTTAGGTATGCAAAATCTCTTTATCATATGAAAAATAAAAGTAAGTACAGATAGCTCTTCAGTTTAAAGGGGGCTGTTTTGTAATTTGATAGTGATTTTTTTTGTTGTTGTTGTTAACTTTGGTCCAACAACCTGTTGCTCAAGTCTCTTGTAATCCCATCACTAAATTTTCAAACAATATACTTAACCTCTATTGCTGACTTTTTTTTTAGCTTCAATTCTGCAAAGGAATTGAATAAATGGGTTTTTTTGTTTGGTCTTATTGTGGTTAATGCTTGTATATGTTTTTCTGTAAACGTTTAATTTAACTAAGTGGTTTTCTTTTGTGGAAAATAATGAAGGTCTTTATCCACTGATTGGTTGGAAGATTGGGAAAGAAGTTGTTTACTTAACTGAAGGCACTATATCGGACATCGGCGCTGCCATAAAATGGGCTCAGGATATAGGTGAGTTCTTTGCAGAGGGTAAAATATATAACTGCTTAAGAAACTTTTTTATGGGTTCATAGTTATGTTACTGGACTTGGTTTTATTATTCATAGTTGAATAACTGAATAATTGAGTAATTCATATCTGAAGAAACCAGCCCACATGCTTTGGGCAGCAAAAATGCAGTGTCTTAGTAGGTTCTGTGCTGGATGTGTCTGCTGCAGGGAGTTGGGGTTTGGTTTGTACAATCATCTCCTCTTCAGTCTCTGCCTCAGACTCTCCTACCTATGGAGGCTTTTATCTTCCTGAAACATTTAACTCCTTGCTTTCTCTTGAGCACGACAAACTTCCTGATTCCACAAGCACTTGCTGCAATGGTTTTGAGAGGTCTCAAGCTACACATCTCAGAGTTAATAACAGGCTTGATTTATATAAAAATAACGTGGAGAACTTCTCAAGTAATGGTGCTGTCAGTGTTGCTTCACATAGAGGTAATGTTGGCTGGTATTATTATGTAATGAAAGGCTTTGCATTCCAGTTTAATGAAAGACTAAGAAAATAATAACTCTGTAGTATCTGACTACTGGTTGTTTATAGGACAACTGTTCTGAGTGTTTTAATTAGAAATTTATTTGGCTTACTTAGAAACTTAGTACATTTTTACTAAGATGCGAGGAAAGATTGTCTGGGAAAGGTTTTCTTGAAGTGTAGCTCCCCACAAAATTTCCCACTTCTTGAAATTGTCAGCTTTTGGTGCATATGGTGCATTTATGTTCTCTGGTATGTGCCCTTGAGGGCTAAATGTGACTCAGGTTGGTCCTCAGGTCTTCGTCATCCAACATTTGACTAAGCCTGGAGAGTAACAGCCATGAGGCTTTTGAGGAAATGACTCAGTTCAGCTCTGTAGACTCAGATGTGTCAGTGGTATATATGTAAGCTTGCTACTTCAGATTCCAGAGTTAAAATGTATACTTATCCATATCAAACTTATCCTTACTTAAAATGGATTTTATTAGTATATGCATAAGTATGAAGGATTTCTAGCTTGTCAGTAGTAAAATGGTCATGATCTACAGTTGCTACCACAGAAAAAAAAAAGGGGGAAGTTTTAGAGGGAGATTAAAAAAAGCTTCCTGCTTTAAACACTGTAACAAGTAAGATCTTCATTTTCTGAAAATATTGTTGCAGAGAAGCAGAATTCAGAGACTCTTATCAGCTTTAGAGAATGGTAAAACTTTTGCTTTAAGAAGTAATGGGGCCAAAACACAAGGTAAGCCTCAGTAAGGGTGGTGAGGCTCACCATGGATGATGAGACATAATAGTGGTAAAGGTTTGGAATTAGGAATTTCTGCAGCAAGGCAGTCTTAGTTTAATTTCTTTTAGTGTGATCATATCACTTCTAAGAATTTAGAAGTAGTAGTATGTGGAATTTCAACATGAAGTCAATCTTAATTTTTTTTTTCTGTCCTTGTGTAGGGGTACTATATTTATAATTCAGTAACAGCAAAGACAACAAGAAAGAAAAGATGGGATTTGGGTTTATTAGTCTGAGCACAGTAGAGTCCAAAGTTTTCAATCAAATTTGTGAAGGTTACAAAGGTAAATTGAAACTCCTGATAAGTTACTAGGATGGGGTTTTTCAAAGGTAAGTTTAACTAGATTAACCTAATTTATCTTTAATAGGAGAATTCACTTTTTTGACAAGAAAAAGCAATAGATTTCATGTACAGAAGACCTCTAGTCTTTTGTAAAAACATGTTATGTGGCCACATAAGGACATTATTAGTTAAAATTACGAAGATTGGTGTTGGTACAAGAATTGCATGTGGGTGAAGAACAAGCTAAAGAGGAGTGTCAGTAGAGTTATGAAAGAAAATATCTGGCTGGACAGAGAATAAAAGTCTATCCAAGAGGTGATGTGATAAGAAGTGATAACCTTATTTATGTGTCAGTCACTTGTAAAGATACTAAGGGTGCTGATAAAATATGGATATTAAGGACTTTCTCTGTAATTGCTTGGTAGTTGGGCTGACAATAAGAACATCTTTTTGGGGAGAAAGGCATCTCGTGTTGTGAATTTAAGGTTTTAGCACTCTTAGGGTGCCACTGTTACCCATCTCAGTTCCCATTTCTGTCTATTTGGAAATATAATGACCTCTTACAGGATGTGAAGTTGAAAAGGCTACAGCACAAGAGGTATGAGAGGATCCTTTTGAGTTTAGCCTTCATCTGAATAGTTTGGGTTTTTTAATGTGACTGATGGATATGAAATAAGGAGAAGTGATCATTTCCCTTAGAGCATGTAGTTTGAGAATATTACAAAAGGCAGTAGTCAAACTCTAGATTTCTGTCTCTTAGCAAGACAAAATGAAGAAATTGAAGTAAATGTAATAAAAGCACACAACTTATGCATCCTTACAGATCTTTTCACCAATGTAGATGAAACAGCAGAAATGGCACAGAGTGTTGCTGATTCTCAAGGCGTTTGTTTCATTCCAGGTCTTCAGGTAAAATTATTAATTTACTAACCCTATTAAAATTTCAACTTTTACATGTTTAAATGTAATAATTTACATCCTATCACAGTATTTATTCTGTACTACTCAGGTTCTTACTGTCTGTCGCTTATCACGATGTATGAAGACCACTGTCATATCAGAATGCTTAAACACCATCCTCCCCTTGAGAAAAACCCTACCAAATAGGAAAATTAGTGAAGGACAGATAAACTGAATTATTTGCCCCCAGGAACACAGGCAGTGCCTGCAGAGACAAAAACTGATCCTGTAGCTTTTCTACCTCCTGCAGAGCCATCACTGAGACAATACTTCTGAGCACTGTTCTAAAGTAATTAATTTTATTCTGCCTTTTCTCAAGATGTAAGTTGCAATTCATCAGAATATTTACAAACAATGAGCAAGATTGCAATTCCTGCTGTTATGAAAAATGAAGATAATGTTTAGACACTTCTGGGAATGATCAGACTGAGTAGGATAGACATCTCTCTTAGAAGTCTCAGTGATTGATTGGTTTGAAGGTGAATCTCTGTATGTTTCTAAAAGTTTTTTGAGTTTTTTTTAAATCTTCATTTCTCTATCATACTCATTCTCAGGACTAGTGGTTCTTTCTGAAGAAACTTAACATCTTTAACCTTCCCTTTGTGTAAGTCCTGTACGCTGATGGAACAAAGCAAAGAGGAATTTCATTTCTTCTCCAGGTAGCCCAGCTCCCTGCTCTCAAACAGCCACCCCAGTCTCTAGGGATATAGAACTTGATTGTGCTAAGGGGCCTCCATTTTGTATTTACTGGGAGTAACTGTGCTAGGAATAAGCAAGTGTTGAGCTATGCTAAATTCCAGTATTGACAGACAGGAATCCTGAGGTAGACAAATGTTAGTCTCAGTATTTTCTGAACCTTTATTTCTATTAGTGTTCAAGTTCTAGAGATATTGGCAAAATTTCTTTTTTGTTTGTATCTTTTTATTTTGCTTTGTGGGTTTTTCTCTCCCTTGCTTTCTTGGCACTGTCTCCGTAAAGAACCCCAGCCAGCTTCCCACTTAATCCTGGTTCAGTCTTTTTCCTTAATTCTGGTATTCCCAGTCCAAATTTAGAAGCTGTATTTGGATAACTGAGTGGATTTCTCTTTAACTGTGACATCTAGCAGCCACTAATAGTCCCCTCCAATGTGGGTTTCTTTGCTTTTTAAACCCCCTGCTTATTGCAGTGGACTGTGCTTAGCATGCAGAGTCAGTGACAGAATGTGTGTCCACTTAGAAACTGAGGGGATTACATGGTGTGAAAAGGGACATAACAGAGTTGAACACTTCTGGGCCTGTAATGTGTCTGTGTAGCTCCACATGGCTAGATGCTAACACAAATGGATTCTATTATAATATTTCTTAGTCCTCAGAATGACAGCCCTTAGGAAGGGTTCTTAGAAAGCTTATGTGACCATTTCCTACACAAAGTAAAATGTTCCTCTACTCATCCATAATTAGGCAACAAGAACAAGTGTCTTTCTTGCTGGATTCTACTGCTGTGGTGCAGTACACAGAGAGGAACATCATTGAGAAATTATATTTAAAATGGGGTGAATATTTGCATTAATATTTTTTTCCTTTTACTCATTCTGCTAGAAATGGGTTTCCAGGCTTCAATTTCTGTGGTTAATAGTAACAGCAGAACTGTAGGGCTCTTCAGTGGGGTGTATGCATGGATGTGCATGCTCTTTTCTTCTTTTTTTTAATAATCAATTCTTTCTAGATACCCTTATGTAGAATATGAGTCTACACCTTTTAGATTATCTTGTACATGAAAAACGGTAAACTTAGAAGCCATGAATCCTTATTGTACTACTGAGCTGGACAAGTGGCTCCATTCTTAGAGTGGTAAGGGTACTTTTATGTGGAAACAAAAAGAATATATTCTTTGATGCAGAAGTTTCTTCTATTTAGGAATTTCTCAAAATACCAGTTTTCTTTTTGGCTCGGTCTGCCTATCTGTACACTGGTGTTTTGGGGTTTTTTTAGCCTACGATAGCATTTTCTTAACTATAAATATGTGTGTATGTGTTTTATAAGCATGAAATTCAAACTTCTGGTAAGTGTTGTCATAATTGATACTTTGCACAATACAACTGAAAAGGATTGTTTCAGTTTAAAAGTTACTGTCTACACTGAAAATAAGATTGAATGTTGTCACAAAACAGGTACACATCAGCCAACTAATATTTTGTGATAAAGTTCATCAGAGGAGTGGAGGGGCGGAAACAGAGATTCATACATTAGTCCTCTAGTTCTCCTGTAAAAACAAGAATGCTTAGAATTTTTCTTTGGACTGTGTTTATCAGTGTAACTGATAATAGGCTGTAGTATACATTAATAAAAAGTATTATCATCCCTTTCAGTGTTACTTTTAAAAGTCAATTCATCTTTCTTTCAATAGTTCAGGAAGGGGTGTGTGAAATCTTGTTGGAGAACAGCAGTATCAGTGTGCCCTGTCCTAGACACTTAAAGTGTACCCTGTACATATTTTGAAGATAAATCACATGGCTTAGTCTTATTTAGTATGTCAGATTTGAAATAAGACACTTAATACTTTTGCTCTTGAAAGAAGCTATTTAAACTGTTCACTGAGGTAGCTAAAATAACACTATATTCCTCTTACGTATTGTTTTCAATTTTCTTCTCTCACTGCTGCCTGTAATTGTTGTAAGTTATTTTTTTCTTCTTACTCTTTGACTCCTTTCTTAAAAGCCTACAAACACAATTCACTGAACTCATGGTGACATCTTTTGTGCAGGTTTCTGTGGATGGCACATATTTATGTGCCTCTTTCATGGGGCTGAAGCCTTCCACTACCAGAAACCATCTTGTACGAGCTATACTGGAATCTGTAGCTTTCAGGTACTGTTTGCTTAATTACCTGGCTTATTTCTTACATTTGCTTTTATTTAGATCAGCAGCATTAAATGGATACCTGGACTTCTGCAGTTTGTAAAATATTAATAGTAGTGATCTGTTACTGTTATGCTGGAAAGGAGTTTCAACTGCTTCCTTTTTTCTTAACACTTTACAATTACGCTTGTGTATGTTTGCTAGTTCAGGTTTTTTTATTAAGTAACCATATAGATTATTAAATTATATTATTTTTTGCACGTTCTAAAAATGTTTTCTCTTTGAAGTTTGTCCTTACTCTGGTGACAGTGTTTTGTCAGAAGCTGTAGCCCACTCCAGCTAAGTTTAAAGTACCCCTGAAGCTCAAAGTTTTATATTATAGAATCATGGAATATGCTGAGTTGGAAGAGACCCATCAGGATCATAGAGTCCAACTCCTGCCCCTACACAGGACTTCCCAAGAATAACGCAAATAAATAGAAAAGAGTAGAGATCCTTTGTGTTTAGATTTTCTCCAATTAACTGAAATGTTTCAGAACAAGTCAGACTTGAAGCCTTCAGATATTACCCTTAAAAAATAGTTGGTTAAACTCCAGTTAACACTCTATTGGCCTACTTTCCTCACTCTAAGTGAGGAATCAGTGATTGTATCTTGTCTGTAGAAACCTATCAGCGACTTTCAGTGGAAACAATGAACCTTCCATGGTGACTTGCTATAGAATGGGCCATGATTTAGCCACACTTGTGCCTTTGTAGTAATGGCAAGGACCAAAGACCAGTTTCAGTGGTTTTGGTTTTTTTATTTGTGCATTTTAGAGACTCACTAGCTATTGCAGCAGTTCTGTCAGAACTGAGGGTTTTTTTGCCTTGTATTTTATTTTCTGACTATGTAGATACTGGAAACACTTTATGGAATATATAATGCTTAATTCAACTGAATATTTTTTTTAAAGAAACAAACTGCTTTATGATACCATTGTGAAGAAGGTGCACATTCCTCTTCAAACCATTCGGTAAGTTCTGTGTAACTGCTAAATTTGATATGTGGGAGTTTGACTTCAGGTTGATGTGAACTTTATTATGCATTTTACCTTACTGTAAAAATTCTCTTGTTGAGAAATAGATGATTCCCAAGTCAAATGTTAATGTAGCTTAAGCAGCAGTGGAGTCTCCCCTCACCTATTGGCATTGATGATTGGCAGTAGGGGAGTAACGAATTGCTCTAATTATTAAAACAATAATAAAAGAGAAGGCAAATATATGTTTTCAAGTAGCACTAGAGTGCACATAGCAATGCCTACCCCAAAGGTCATTTTACCCTTGGTAATCATTCTTTCATACTGACATATTTTGTGCCAGGTCTTTCACAGATTATTTTTTTGAAGACATCAGTTAAAACTATTTGTTCTATTTGTGAGGGGAAGAGGGAGAATATTTTTACAATTCAGTTGTTAAGACGTTGGTTTTGCTTTAATCTTTGAAGAAGCAGATCAAATTTAGTGAGGTAACGGTGAATATGCTTTCACAACATTTGATGAAAATTTAACTGAATTATACATTGCTGGAAGACTACAGTTCACATTTCAGTAGGTGCTTCCTCTGAATACAGCAGTTGTCAGAGCCTCCAGCCCTCGGGCTCAGAAGGCTCTCCGACAAAATTCCTCCTTCGGGCAGCCAGGGGTCAGCATGGCACTGTGATCAAGAGAGAGGCAGCCTTCCTATCCCTTCTGTGCCTCTGCAGAGGAAGGAACAGACTGGCAGGCATGTGGACACAAATCACTCTTGAGTAGTGGAAGAAAAGTGAGAGTACAAGGTGGGAGGAGCTAAAAGTTTCTCTTTTCCATCACGTACTGGAGCAGAGTAGGCAAAGGTGAAGAAACAGCCAGGCTTGGGGGTTTAATGGAGACAAAAAGATTAAAAGTATCTGAATTTTTGATTCCTTAGGAAACTTTTTTACGTGGAAAATTGCATCCAAAATTTGAGAAGTCACATTTAGAGTGTGAACTGAAAAATGGGAAGTGTGGAAGTATAGCCTAGGGAACATTAGAATTCTGATCCCACTTATGTTGTAATGTAAACTTTAAATTGTATGATCATGTTATTTTTTATTCATTGATAGAAAATTGCTGCTTCATATAGTGACTAATAGTTAACTAGCATCGGTAGCAATTCAACTTGAGGGTTAAGCATTAGAAGATAATGAGATAAACTCAGTGGAGTTTTCAGCAGGGTTGTAAACTGCTCTCCCATCCTTTTGTCTGGACATCTTCAGTATCTGTCAGTTACTTTTGATTTTTTGTTTTTGCTTTTATCCCATAAATACTTTCATTCCCTTTTTCACTGTTGTCCTGTATCCCTTGTTCTTTCCCAGTCTCTGGCTCTTACAAGCTCCTACCAAGTTGTTGTTTTCATTAGTCCTCTACTTTCCTATTAATTCTCTTTGCTTGTCTCAACACCATCAAGGAAAACACAGAGAAAGAACCCTCACTTTAACCCACCTGTCCTGTGCTGTAACAGCCTCCAGGAACCTTTATAAGGATGATGCTGGTGGTCCCTGGAGCCCTGGAATGTTCACGTGCTCTGTGAAATAGCACATCCCTGGTCCAATGGCACAAAGGAACTTGGAACTAGTAGATGTACAGATTGAATCTTCAAAGTATCCAGTAGCAAAATTTAGCTAAATGTAAAACTGAGTATTTGGAAATTTTTAATAGTATGGAAGACTTCACCTGGCATATTTGAATTGAAGATCTTTAAGCAATTAATAAGTTTTATTACCCAACATTTTCTATAGCAATAAACAGTAGAGGTCTTTTCTACACCACATTTGATAGAGCAACAGCTCCATGCTTGGCTGGTATTGGAGTCCAAGAGCATAATGAACCAAACTATGACATTTCAAAGATTGCTTTTTGTCACAGTTACTTTTGTTTGCAAGTGTGATTACTTGGCACTCTCAGATGATTAAAGATTACTATTGATAAGTTCTAGTTGTGTCCATTAAATTGGTCCCCAACATGATGCAATTAGGCAAATAGATAGATGGAAGCCACATTCTGAACTTCCTCATAAAAAGAAGCAACAGTGAAGGCATTTTAGCTCACTAGTACAAAGAATTGGTAATAAGGAAAGGGGTACTCTTCCAGATCTGAGAGCACCTGAAAGGGTTTGTTTAATGTAATGGTTTTGACCAATGTCATGTTATGGTGGTAACTATGTAAAGGTTCTGTTATAAACTCTAACATTTCAGCCAGGATGATTTATGGTTTTAAAAGACAGAGCTTTCAGAGCTTTTGATAGTGTCATGTGTCCCTGTCTGTCTACCGTTCCTCCCCCAGTTTAAACATTCTTTTTTTTAAATTGGCACTTTCTTCTGGCCTCTAAACTTACCCACAAAGTGGAAACACATTTGTGTATGGGTACAGGAAGATGTATGCATAGGTGTGGAACACCAAGACTTGTTTTCTGAAATGCCAGCAATAAGCATTTGAACTTAACACATTTTTCTAACTACTTTCTCCTTTCTCCCTATAGAGCTGATGGAGGTGTCAGTAATAATAGTTTTGTTATGCAGATGACTTCAGATTTAATTAATAAGAAAATAGAAAAACCTGCAAATGCAGATATGTCTAGTCTTGGTGCAGCTTTTCTAGCAGGCCTTGCTTCAGGTATGTAGACATTAAAAAGGTTGTTGTTTTTCCCTTTATAATGCATTTTTGTAAATATGAAGAGAAAAAAAAATCAGACCAAAAAAAGGCATAACTTCAAATAATTGTAAGAAGTCCCCAAAGGACTACTTTAGCCTCTTTTGTGGGAATCCAAGGTAAATAGTGTTTGCTTCTCTGTACAGTACACAGTTAGAAGGATGTACTGGAGAAGAAAGAGGTGAACCCTGTCTTTGCTGCCTCCTCTTTCTTGACTCTGTGTCCATTCCCATATTTGTGCTGCCTGAGCAGTGCTGGATGGGGGTGGATCATGTGGCAAGGGAGCCACTGCACTCACCTGCAGCCATGCCATTCCTGCTGAAGTTGTGTCCTGTCATCTGTGAGCTGAGTCTCTGTTCTTTAAGGTTTTCATGGAAATGAAAGTAAAAAATAAATTATTAACAGAAAAAAACAGCTCTACTCACACAGAATTGTTCTATATCATTCATCAGCTGTTTTCTGCCATTTATGCAATTTTTTAAGATAGTAGGAAAGCAGTTAAATCTTGGGGTTTGTGGCCCTTCTTCACTGAGAAGGGCCTGCAGCCGAAAGCACTTTGTGTATGAAACCTAAGGGAACTTCAGTGCACCAGAGCTGTTCCTTGGAAACCATCCCAGTTAAGCAGATGCATTGTCAGGATTCCAAACAAGTGGATCCTATTGGAAAGGATTTTCACAATGTTAAAAATATGCTTCCCTCTGAGAAAGTTGTTGGTTGAGTAAAGAAAAGCTGTCATGATTTCTTACTGTGTTTCTGCTTTGGATCTCTTGGAAATAGATTAAAACAACTCAAAAATAACATTTACAGTTGAGCTGGAGAATGAATTTTCTGTTTATAGGATTTTGGACTGACAAAGAACAACTAAAGAAGCTAAGGAGAATAGAAGCAGTGTTTGAGCCCCAAAAGGACTCAGAGGAATACAGACCTGCTATGGATACCTGGCTACAAGCAATGAAGCACTCCCTGCCCTGGTAGAAATTGGCATTTTAATTATAGAAGAATTAAGATGTTTTAATTCATATTTATAACATCTTGACATTAACAGGACGGTGAAAACCATAACTGGAATTCGTGATGGTATCTATACGAGTTATGTGGTACTTGGTTACCCCCCTGCTGCTGGATTACTTACACACTGTAATGACCCTTCCCATCGCCCCTGTGACAGCTGTGGTCCAGCTGCAGCATTGGTGTCCCTTCCATGACCTCCTCCGGGTGGCCCAGCTGCTGGAATCCTACCATGTACTGCACAGGGGGTGTTCTTCCTATGATGGGTTTTCTCCTGAGGAGCTCACCTCCCTTTGGATCTTTAAAATCTTTGGTATGCTAATCATCAAGGAAGGGTAAAAGGCACATACACTCCCCTAGGCATTGCTGAGAAACTTAAAATGATTGTTGGGGGTGGATTGTGATGAACTCAATTGCGAAGAAAGGCATTTTATTGATAGTAGCCTGTTACCAACTTCTGGCTGACATTCTAAGAAAACATTTGGCCCAGCTCTGTGATGACACTTCTGTGCACTAAATTAAGATGAAATACAAAAGCAAATAGGCTTTCAGCACTCCATTTAAAAAAAAAAATCCAGGAATTTTGTAGCTATTGTTCCTATCTGGCTTGTAGCTCACTTTTTTTAAAATTTTATAAAGACCAAAAGCAATCTTACCTAGCCTGGCCAACCCATATACATTAAAAATACTTCCAGGTATGCTATCTAACTTGTAGATATTTGTACCATTAATATTTTCAAGGCCATTCTTAAATCCTATTATTATTATTAGCTAAAAGGGAGTCAAAAGTCTATTTTTGAAGCTATAAATTACTTTTGTATTTTTTAAACAAATAAATTCTAATTAAAGGAATGTGTAGTTAATTATTATGTATTTGCTTATCACTACTCTTAAATTATTGTAATTTTCTCAGGTGTATGTGTAAATCAGCTTGAAAAATTTAAAATGATTAAACATTTTCATTTCAGAATAATATTGAGTTCAAGCTGTGGGTGAGTGTATTCCACAGACACCAGAGAGAAGAAATTGTCTTTGACTTGTCAGTTGTCGTTGAAGAGGGCTAAAGAACTATCATTCACTTTTTCTTGTGCTGAAACATGGAAGGTCAAATCATACACTATTTCCTTGGTTTCTTTCAATCATATACTATGAGTTGGAGCATCTACTCTAGCTGTGTTCTTCAAACTAGATCTCATTTGCTTGTCACCCCTAGCTTAAAATGCCTTTTTTTTTTTTTATTCTTCTATTACTTTCTGCACTTCAACCTGTGCTACATCTTGGCAAATTTTTTTCCCTCTGGATGTCCTTCCAAGTTGCAGAGACCATTCTCTCCTAAAGCTTCTTTAATGGGAATCCTTAAATGAAGTCCAGAAACAGGTCTGTTTGCTGATTTCAAGTAATGTGGCAGGCTATACAGTCTATATAGTTAATAGCTCTATACATACTGTTTTTATAAATGGTGCTAAGACTTTAATATAAATAGTCCTCCCGCTCCTGCTGTGGAGTAAGAACCTACAATTACAGGATATATGAAACAGTTACTTTGCTTTAACTCCTGTGTTCAGCTTGTGACTTTTCTCAGTCCTCACCATGTCACTGCTAAAGAAAATGCTCGTTAGCAAGAAGGTTCTCCAAGGCTGAACAGAAAGGCTTTCAGTGTGGCATTTTGGGCTGGAGTTTGTGCCTCAGTTGCTGGTATTTTAGACTTTGCTCTCACTGTGAAAGAGTTTAGTCATCAACATCTGCCCTGGGATAATGTCCATCTATTGCCCTTTTGACGAAAGCTCCTTAACTTATGTCCACTTGTTAATCTTGTGGTTTTGCTGGGCTTGCTCAGGCAGTGTTCCTCGATGGAGCTCCAATGGGAGCTGAGCCTGATCCTGTTCAAATCACTTTGCTGAAGGTAACTCAGCAGCCATGGGCCTTAGACTGCACCTTTGCATGGGGGTGGTTTTCCTCCTGGCAATAGCACAGCTAAAGAGATAGAAGATATCCAAATACTCAAGACATTATATAGTCCTCTTGCTCTAGGGATTGTCCTAGAGGAACTATTCAGGATAACCATTTTACCACTGTCACTGTTTTATTTTGCAAAGCAGGAAATTTCACCTGTTTTCCTTTCATGAGCCTCAAATCTACAGGAGAGAAACTTCACTGCAAATGAAGGATGCAAAAAAGCCTCAGTACATTCACCAGCTGACCCATTCAAATGGAATGCAGAGTTTTGAGTTTAGTGAAGAGGTTCAAACTAGTGAGTAAGTCTCTGAAACAAACAGGGAGGTGTCTTTAAGTCTCCCAAGATGGAGGAAGCTTTGGAGGTTAGAGAATCTGCTGCAGCTCGTGATGCATAGTTGCCCAAAGACTAACCAGACTAATAGCCATCTTGAAGAAATTGGGATACTGATCAAAGTCTCTTTTGCTTACCTGTTACAAGAAAAATTGATCTTATCTTCCCAGGAATTTTTTAATGTGCTGATATCTAAAAGTGGAACCTGTTAATTGATAATGAATTTGAAATGATTTTACAGGTGCTGTGCTGTCTTAACAGAAAGGCGTGAAGACCACTGTAGAACCTCACTCATATTAACTTTTATTTAAAATAAGACAGCCTTTAGTGCTGCTGTTTTTACTTGTATTTAGTTTTTTTTATTTCAGGGCAGTTTTCATCAGTTTGGAAAGTATATGCAATTTTACATTTTCTGTTAGGTGAGTTTGATAATAAATGTAACAATACAAAAATGATAAATATTAGCTAGTTTGTAGTTTTATCATTTTAAGAGCTACACCGTGTTGAGACTGTGAATGTTTCACGTAGGATTGGGTAGCGATGCACCTCATCAGCTTATGAAGAATGGGCAATTCAGTTGAGGTGTGTTAATGATCTCTGGGCATGCTGCCTTCACAGATACACACTGTGCTGATGGTAGGTAATGCCATCTCAGTTTGGCAGTTTTATCATTCATAACAACATATAGTCCTGTTATCTGTGTGGGGACTACATGGCATGAAAAATACCTCTAATGTTGGAGGGATCTAACTACTATTGGATTAAGTGTTGCATATCAAGAGAACAGTCTTCAGATAGTTGAACATATTGAGCAGACATGAATTTCCTTACATAACTAAGAAAAAAATCAGCAGCTATGTTTAAAATTTCCCTGTAATGAAATTGGCCAAGATTTTTGAGTACCGTTTTCTTTTAAGCAGTATTTTCTGCTTTCCTGTAACAGTTGATTTTATGTAGAATTAAATTCAGTTTCTCTCATGTGTTTTTGACAAGAGCATTCAGACTTGCTTTCAGATAGAAGACAGTAAAAAAGGAAAACACTGGAGTTGCTGTTTCAGCCTGGTAACTTCCATTGCTATAATCTCTATAGTAAGATCCTTCAGCTAGTCCACTGTTTCCAAGATCAGGGCACAGCACAAGAGACTCTCACCATGTGGAAAAGGGTAAGAACCACTCCTTGCCAGTCAGTGGGGCATAGCATAGAGAGGGGGTTGTTACTGCTCCGAGCCAAAAAGTAGAAAGTTTTGATCCCCCTTGAGACAAACTGGTGTGGCAGTCCTGTGGGCTGAGTCGGGGAATATGGCAGTGCTCTGCCCCAGAAGTTGGGCAGCATGTTAGTTTAAGGCTTTATAGGGAGTTAGTGCAAGTTCAGCAGGAGAAAAGGAGTGATGGTGGAGGGGGAGCCTGTTTTGAGTTAGTGTTTGTACAGGTTATCACAGCATGGGTTGTGGGCTGGCAAGAAAGTGGTGAAACAAGCAAATGTTGGAAAGGGGAATAGGGGGGATCAAGGAGGGATCTGAACAGCCAGGGGAGCAAGGTGGTGTTCTAAGGCTGGGAGAACACTGACACGTTCTGGAGGGAGACGTGACAGCTCCCCACAGTGCAGGCTGAACTGTAAGTAGCTGCTAAACCCACGCCTTAGCATATCTAAAAAAACCCAATTCTAAGCTGTTTTTAAGTGCAACCCTCACTCTGGGATAAAGTTTGGGATTGGTGAAAGTTCTGAAGGATTGATTTAGAATGTTACCTCTGTAGTGTCCTTACCCTCATGTGAACTGATAACTGTCTCACCAGCTTCAAACTCAAGAGTGTGTGTGTGTGTGTGTGTATATATATATATATATAGTTATTCTGCAGTTTGCTGTAGAAAGCATATGCAAACTACAGGAGTGACTTTTCTTTCTCTCCTTTGTGGTTAAAATGGCTATTTTTCATACATTCATAATCAGTTCTAGCATCTGACTTCAGCTCCTTGGTGTTTCTTGCAGAAAGGTCAAGACCAATGAACCAGAAAGAGATATATGAAGCCCAAGTGTCTTTATCGAGATTGGGTTTGAGTTCAAGTATTTGTTTAGCTCAGGTAACTTATTGAATAGTGCAATAACCCAGCCACCCTGTTTTGCTTCTTTTTCCAAGGCAGTGCATGCCTTCTGCACTTGTGTCAGGGTAGGCATCACAGTAGCAATCGTGGTTGTCCCTGCTGGAGGGAGTCTGCAAGAGAATACACAACAGTTTGCATTTTTTTAATGCTTTCATGAATGTACCTTGCATAACACTACAAATATTGGTAAAAGGTCTTGTTACATTTGATGGAAGTATTATATAGAGGATGAAAAGCAACTGAAAGCACAAAGTCAGCAAATTCCTGGGCAAATACTAGTTTTTCAGTTGCGAACTGCCGCACTGAGGTAAACATACAGGTCTAGCTTGCTAATGTTTTCCTTAGACTGACATTTAAGAACTCTGTTTTATGGGTTGAACTCCTGTTTTTTGACGTTCTTTCTGTTCTTAGTGAAGGGGACAGGATCAAGTGTGTCTTCCTAGAGCATTTAATGTTGTCTGTAAAGCAAGAAAAAGCACAAGTTTACCATGTTTAATCCAGTATGTGTACAATCTAGAGGTACCTAAAGCACCTAAATATTGTTTCTGTGTCCCCATAAACCTTGTTTTTCTCAGCTTGTTCCACAAATGTGAAGGATGGGTAACTGCGAGCCTTGGCCGTGTGCCCAGCCACCCCGGAGAAAGCCCGTCCTAACAAATGTTCCAGCGTCGCTTCCAACGGATCTAGTGCCCATTTTATTTTTTTACTCCTGGGAGTGCTTTCTATTTGTGTTGTGTCTCTGTAAGGGTACTTAATCCCGCTTTGTTGAAATCAGTTTTTATAAAGGTAAGGAAATGCTGAACGCAAATAGTTCTCCAGGCTGGGCCAGGGTGCGGAGCTGGGCCCGGCTCTCCCGGGCTGTCCCCGCCTGTCCGGGGCCGCCTCGGGCGGGGCCGAGGTGCGAGGGCGCGGTCGCTGCTGCCCGGCCCCGCCGCTTTCTCCGGGGCCCGGGTGCCTTTGTTCGCAGGAGGGAGCTCACGGGGCTGGGGCAGAGCCCGCCCCGGGAAGGACGTTCCTGCTGCCCGAGGCGCCGGACCCGCGGCGGGGCTGAACTTTGCATCCCGGGACGCGGCCCCGCCACCGCCTCGAAAATAAGCGGCAGGGCCGGCGGCCGCAGACAGCGCGGCGCCGCGAGCTGTGTATAGAGACGGGTCTCTCCCTGTATTTATTTATTTATTCGCTTCGCACCGGCCGGCAGCACCAGCAGGTGCGGCCGCGGGGGGCTGCGGTGGGGCTCGAACCTGCGGCCCCGCGATCCTGACAGCGCCCGGCGCGCGCCGCGAGGGGCGGGCGGTGGCGGCCCCGGGTCTGGGTCGGCCAAGCCCTTCCGCCCCGCCCCCCC